TTTCTTATTGTTAAGGTTATAGTGTATAAGGTTAAGGTATATCAAATAATAAAAGACATTGTCGGGATTATGGTTGTCGGTATTTTGATACTGTCGGGATTATGGTTGTCGGTATTTTAATACTGTCGGGATTTTGATATTGTCGGGATTTCAAAGGTCAAGAATTTGATTGTCGGGATTTCAACATAGAGACGTTATCTTCATACCAACAAAAAACAAACGCAACAAAGGTTTTTCGCCACCGAAAACGTTGACCGTTGTGCCCCCCTCATCTCTTACCTCTCACGTACAACTACTTGAGTAAATTGTGTCGCACTTCCTGTCGGCAAATTGTCGCAATCTTCGTGAAAGCCTTCCGGATGTGGGCCACGCTTTTGTGCGGCCCTTTTTGGCAGCAAAACACCAATTGCGGTTTTCTTGTGTCCTTCTTCTTCATCTCCTCCTTCGACCTCATTCTTTTATTATCCTTGTTGCTTCCATTATACTACTTCGACTGCTTTCTTCGCATTTGATGGCTCTCTTTGGCGGTGAATTTCACAAGCCATTTCACCACAATAACGCAACAATCGAACTGATGTCCGATCGAAAGGGATATAATGGTGAAAACGCTTTGTATGTTTGTTGCGTTTTTTTTCGCCTTAACAAATCTATTTCGGAAATAAGGAAGAGGACCTAAGGGATAAAGGAAACCGCAGCTATTGCCGCATGCAATTCGCAGGCAATTTCAGTTTTCAAACGATTCTTTTGTCCATTCCCGAAAAGAGATGATTTAATACGATGAGTTACATTCTTATTGAATTGAATAAAGATATTACAAGAAACAACTCATTTTTTTTTAAAACCACATAAAGAAATCATTAAGAAGTAATTATCTTAATTGTTTTCATTATCCACGCCTATTGTTACAATCTGTTTTGAAATTTATTTATAAAGCAATTATTTATAGACTGCTGCATTATTATCACAGAAAAAAATATGAACACTTAATTCAAATAAAAAATTTAAATACTTAACTGACAATGGTTAATATATTTAAATAATTAACTATTAGCACCATCTTACAAAAAATAAATACAAAAGTTTGTTCTTGGATGATTATTTGATATACATTATATTGCAATTGATAACACAGTAATCATATATCCATTTTTCAATACATTCATTAAATTCTTTAAAGATTTTCTTATAAAAAAAAAATAATCATACACAAGAAATTATGAGGATTTAATTCAAATAATTATACTTAATTGACATTGATTAATAAATTTAGATTTGTATGTAAAAATAATGAATTAGTAGCGACATCTTACGACACATTTATTTAACCAAGTATGAAAGTTCAGTAATATTTGTCGATGATTGTACTTGGATGGATATTTGGGGTCTATATCGCAAGCCCGACAATCGAAAGACCGTCTATTGAAATCCCAACGTTCGAAATCCCGACTGTATAGAAATCCCGACACTTGAAATACCGACTATGTCAAAATCCCAACTACCATAATCCCGACAATCAAAATCTTGACTATATCGTAATCCCGATTATATCAAAAATGTTATTGTAGAAATTTATAAAATAATAAAAGACACTGTCGGGATTTCAAACATCGGGATTTTGATAGACGGGATTTCGGTTGTCGGGCTTGCGATTGCCACCGGATATTTGACATCATTATCATATTCATTTGATAACACAGTCATCATATCATTTCCATTTGACTAAGACTGTGTTAATACTTGAAGAACTACCAAAGATAAAAACTATTCAAAAATAAAGGAATTAATGAAAAACTTACTTTTGTAAGCAGTCAAATAATAACTATTCGATGTACATTTCTTTACATAATTTTAATTTTTAATTGATACAAAATTTTGTTGGAAATTAGGGCCAATAAAAAAATAACTAATGATGCAAATTAATTTTATAACAATATTATAGTTAATCAGAAATTATTGACACAACGCATCATAATTATAAAAAAAAATAAGTAAAAATATATTATGCTTTTTTGCATTTATTGAATATAAACAAAAAAAAAATACAAACATTTATGTTATGATCAACAGACGCTTTGATGTAAGGTATTTATATATAAAACTTAGTGGTGCATGGAAGCTCTACAAATTGGTTCAATTTTCATATTTATTAAATCGATCTAATTTTGCATAATTACATCACCGTGTACATACCATGTATTTTAAACAAATTACAAGACTTTCGAAATTTAAAAATATAATCTATAGTCCGTACATTATTCACAATAAGCACATACCATTGATTTGAATACATTATACAGGTAATGTCTTCTTAACGAATTATACTTCCTTTCAAGGAGAAACTGCAATTTTGTAATAACAAACTTCTAATGAGATGACTTTTTTTTTAGTAATTTGCATCATTTCTTCATGACATCATGAGTTCATATAATTTTATTATCGTGGGCCCCAGGCACCAGTTAAGTAGATTCTAATATAAATATAAGTCTCGTGGGCCCCTAAAAAACTCGTAAATACTAGCACCATAATGGATAAGACGGCCCAGAAATACCAACTTTCAGAATAAGTAATGACAGCTGACAATTCAAGCAAATATTACCACTAGTAATTGCTTATACTGAAAGACATATGTTACATGTAAATAATTAGTTCACTTGGACCAAAATTTCACTATTTTTATGGGCTCTAAGCACTGTGCCTAATTGATAAGATCGACTAGAAGTACCAATTTTCAGAAGAAGTAATGACAACTGTCAATTTAAGTAAATATGATGACTAGTAGTAATTGCTAATACTGTAAGACATATGTCACATGTCAAAAAATGTAGTTGCCGTGGACCCAAATTTACTATTTTTGTGGGCCCCTAAATACCTCGTGAGTCCCCATATAGATCCTGCGCTTTAAGCAATGTGCCTAATGTATAAAACAGACTAAAAGTACCAATTTTCAGAAGAATTAATGACAGCTGTCAATTCAAATGTCATAAGTAAACATGATAACCAGTAGCAGTTGCTAATCCTGTAAGACATATGTCACATGTCGAAAATGTAAAGACGCCATACAAAATAATATTGATTTATATTAAACAAAACTTATTTGAGAATATTTTTCAATAGTTATTTATAACAATACTTAAAATTTCTAGTATTTTCTGCTGTTAAATATATTAAAAACTAATTTTGATAATTTGTTTCATATATTTCATTTCAAGAAATAAATTTTTATATAAACATTTTTCAATAGTCTTTTTCAAAAGTGTTCATTTTTGCAAAATTGTATATTTCAGTGTACAAAACACAATTCAGACAAATTTTATAGATTTTAGGAAGAGAAGCTTCCATTACAAATTGCAGTCGTTTCAACTTTATAAAATTATTTGCAAATGGAATCATCACTGTATACAACATAATATAGTCAAATTAAATGAAGGCAAGGAAGCGAATTGCGTGATGGTTTGTAATTTTTTCAGGCTCATCTGTGAGAATCAGGACGCGAAGTGTATGATTTCACCCGGACAAAAATATAAAATTGTCCATTGCGAGTCCATTCATTACGCACGTTCAATTAGTCAACTCTACCTGAGCAAAATATGATAATAACAGATGTCGCATTTGCATGCTTTCCAATTAGTACGATTTCAAATAAAAGACATCGATTTTTTTTTAACTACAATTTATTTATTATTTGTTGTACATATGTCTCTTATTCCATATTATTTTATTTACAATTTTTTTTTGTTCTTTTCATTTCAGTATATTATTTAATTCGTCGTACTGTTCGCTATTAATGGCGGAAACATTTCGTGGAACTCGGTAGGCGTTCTTCGAAACTCATACGTGATCATAAAACAATCGTTTTTGTTGAAACAATTTGTGAACTTCAATGGACGAACTTTCTGTACTTACTTATTTATGTGTCGTGTGACTTTTAAATGTATCTTTGTTTGTTTTTTTTTCATGAAATTTCAGTTTCAATAGAGAAAATTACTCTTAAAATTTTAATATTTATAACGTAAATATATTTCCCAAAACATACATTATATTCTTTATAATAAGATTTTAAATCAAATTTACAAATTTACTAACCAAAAAGTAAACAATAATTTTACTACAAAATTGCTAACTTTTTATATAATTCATTTGTTGTAATATTCATTTAATTAATTTTCATTAAATACTTGTAAATTGTAGGTAATTTATAGTTGCGTCCGCACACTATTTGTTATATAAGTCAATATTTATACGGTGTACCAACTACCAATCTGCTATCAACGATTGGTTACATTGGAAAACAACAAATAATAGTAGTTGGTATACATGACTGACATGTGTAATTTATTCCATCCATTATGTCTATGAACCCTGTGGCAATCTCAAGCCCGATAACCGAAATACTGTCAATTAAAATCTCGACGTTCAAAATCCCGACGTTCGAAATCCCGACAACCATAAAGACTATGTCAAAAAGACCGACTATATCCAAAATGTCTACAACAACATTTTTAAATTTTTCCGGAACGTAGTGATTTTTAAATTGTTATTAATAATAAATAACAACAATTAATAATCTTATTGTATTTGAGATTATTTTAAAATGTTAAGGTTTATTATGAATAATTCAATAAAATCAAATAAATTAATAATAATTTATTGTTATTAATAATAAAAATCTAGCACAATGTGACTACACACTTGCGATACAAACCCGTATGAACCGTAATACCAACTATGTATAAATTATAGCAGATTTCAGTTATCATTGGATAACAATAAACAATATTAGTTGGTATGCCTGCGTGACGTTGATGTTTCATGTGTATGAAGTATAATTTAAATTTTGAATTGGGTTTTATAGAGTTAAGACATGATACTATAATAACGGAAATATAACGAATATTAAGTTTTGTACTGAAGTAACTGAAATATCTAAAGATAGTGACTTTAAATTTAGCGCTACATCAGCTCGTACAATCACCTAGTATAGACACGAACCTTGCCGACGCAGATCTCTCTTCTGTGTCCGACTTGGATCGATAGTGTGGTGCTGTCAAATACACGTTGTTTTTAACCGGAATTAAAAGGAAAATAAGCGAAAACTAAGCAAAGTATGTATAACAATAAACTCAGCAACATCAATTCCTCATGCTAAACCCATAGCCAACCGCATGGAACCCCCGAATCCCCATCAAAAGACATAACATATCGTCCTTTAAGGTTATGATTGGTCGCTTGTAGAATAGACATCATTCCAACAGCAAACCAAGCTTATCAGTACACCAGTTACGATACTTAGGTGTTACAGAACAACCCTATACCATCCACTTAGTTAATTGTGTTTAATTCGTTGAAATTGGCATTGCGTGTGGTCCGGGTCTTTAATCCTGTCGACCGGTGGCGACATCTGTTGACGACCTCTGGGAGCGCGACGGTTTCGTGCGGGAAAAGTTTGAAAATTCGAACTTTTTTCATATCACGAAAGCCCGGTGCATTTATTATATGTTCTTTTTTTTTGCTCCTTACGTATGCATATTTTACAATATGTTTTTTTTTATATATATATCAGATATTTCGCGAAATTGCAATGCGAGCTCTCACCGGTCCCGAGGCGGCATCGATAATTACATTAATGCCAATGCTCGAAACGACGGCGAATCCGAAATTGCAGGGAATGGCCGGGTCCGGGGTTTGTTATTAAAGGATTTTATAAAATACCTACCCGAGCCTTCGGTTTTCTACACACACCGTGTGCTAGCAGAAGATGGAAAATTGCGCTGCACGCCACCAACCCTCTCAACACACACACACATACAACAATCGCGTATATGTATACATATAAAGTATGTGTGTGTGTGTGTGTATAAAATATCAAGATTGAAAATTGCTATTTGGCGCAAATTAAGTTGCACATTGCTGCGATCCGAAATGTCTGTTATTAAATGATTTTGCATGGGGCAACTAAAACCCCTCGTTTTCTTTTCTTGTCGCTGTCGGAGAGGATGTTGTTGTTGCTGTTGTTGGTTGTAATTGTTGTTGTTCATTTGATGTAATGGTAAATGTTGTTTTCAGATGCCGCCGAAGAAGGTGCCTGAGCCAGAACGGAAGCCACTCATTGGTAGGGTTGGAACCAACCTCAGGGTTGGCATTGTGGGTGTACCCAATGTTGGAAAATCCACCTTCTTCAACGTCCTCACCAAGAGCGCCGTAGCCGCTGAGAACTTCCCCTTCTGCACCATTGATCCTAATGAAAATAAGTATTTTTTTTACAATTTTAAACTTTATCACTTTTAACTTTAAACTATATATTTATTACATGCAATTTTATACAATCAGTTACATTTCTGCTTTTAATCATTATATAAAAACGCATGTATTATATCATTAATCGTGTTTTTAATATGTCAAAACTTGACGACTAATTGAAAACGTCACTATTTTCTATATTAATTGGACTCATCTTTATGGAAACAATTGTTATATCATTGTTTTTAAAACAATTACATAAACATATGTTAAAGACACTTCAATTTATCTTAACACATTGACTACTACGGCGTTATAATTACTAATTAAAACTTTAAATCTCGATTACATAAACTTATGTTAACGACACATATTTAGTGTCATAAGTTGTTAAAATTACAAATTTTAATCTAATAATATTTTTTATAAAATACAAAAATAAAAAAAAACTTAATACAGTAATAAAAATAAAATAAAATTCAACTGCTACACACACCATAGGTCTTTCTGTTGTAATTTTAATCTATTTTATGGCATATTTTAATCTGCATTACGTTATTACATCATTTTTTAAATCAATTACATAATCAAATGGTAAAAACACTTTAATATGTGTCTTAATTTGATATAAGTACAAAGATATATCACGATTTATATGAATTTCTAATGTATAATATGTTCTTAACATGTTTTCATCTTTTTCATTCATTTATCAATGTTTAGAAGCTTTATTGATAACCAATATATTTAATTTCAATTTTACAAAAAATTTTAGATATATTAATAATAATATTTTAACGTATTTTGATTAAAACAACAATATTAAGTCCGTTAAAGAAAACTACACTCTGTAATTTTTATGTTTGTTATTGAAAAAATACATATAAAATCGAAGAAATTTATGTAATATCTTCGTATATTATTATTAATTAGATTTGTTCATAAATAAGATAACAGAACGTATTTTTATTATGAAACAGCATTTTTTGAAATAATACGACAAGAAAAATGCAAAGCAATAAATTTATTTTTTGTTGTTTATATACTATTTACATTTGTTCATAAATTAATAGACTAGGTCACAGAAAGTTTTTTATTATTTAAACAGTGATTTCCATTTTTAAGACAAATTTGTATTAAATGAAGACAAATTCAAAGCAATAAATTTAAGTTTTTATTTTTTGAAAACAGCGATTTGTATTTTCTAATTAAGTTAATGAAAAATACATATTAAATGCAATAAAGCAATAAATTTAAGTTGTTTTATAATTGTTTTTAAATTAGGTAACAAATTTCATTTTTATGCAATAATCAGTTTCACATTTCTTCAATATTTTTTATTTTGGTATAATGATTATAGCAGGTGATTACGACTGGTTCTCATAATATAATTTTAAACCGTGGTCAATGATTGAATGATGATGAAGCATTAAAACATGATCCGAGCTTGACGGATATCCTCAATTATTAATATTCTAAAGAAACTGATTTCGGAATCATGTTGTTGAATTAACAAGATTATATCTAAAAATTATAATTATAAGAAAATAAAAGTAGACACGATTCAATACAAGAACAATTTTATATAAATTCCTTTGAACTTTACCGAATATTATCAGTGAATTAAATAGAGGAAATTAGTAATTTTTAATGTTCAATGGATTCAGTTTCGAAAAAACAATTCATGCAGTATTTTATGTTTTGTTATATACATTTTGGTAATAAAAAGTATACATTTTATGAAATTTTAAGTAATATTATAAAAAAAAGGACAAATTGTGTAAATGATTTTGGAACATTTATAATAAGAACAATATTTTATACAGACAATTTTTTGCTCAAAGTTTTATAATACGTAATATAATAAATTATTTGTTTGTAAAATGGTATACAAATAATCATTGTTTTAATATAGAAAAAGGTATTTTTACGTAAATTTCAATTTAAAAAATGCTGAATAAATACTTTAATTAATAAGAAATATTTTGTATCTATTGTATAAAATTGCATATATATTGGAAATATAATGTAATTTTGTATTATATATAATTGGGTTTATGATTGTATATTCATGTAAGTAGTTTATTACATCTTTTATTATTGCGGATGTAACGTGTATTGATTCATCATGATATAAAAGAAAAAGAACTATATTTATATTTGTATCAAGATATTGAATCTAGTTTGCGCCTATCAATTACATGATCGTAAAAGTTCGATCGACGTAATGACGGATGGTTTGTTCAAATACGAGAACCAGGAATTGCACGAGTACAGGTGCAACCAAAATGTGATCCTCGATAAGCGGTTTCTGAAGTACATTTCTGGTTTCGATTACGTCGAGGAGAATGTGATTCCGGACAATCCGGGCAACTGGTACCCACTGGTTAACTCTTGTTACAATTACGCCGAAGATTACGATGCGGTTAATCGAGTTCAGCATTTGCTGCACGAGAAAACAATTGAGCCGTTCCTGTTTGCAAGCTACCGTTTCGTGCACGAAAGTGGCAACGATCCGCACACCGAACGTAAAACCCACCTGAAATTCCTGAAATCGATTCCCACTCGTTTCCTGATCCTCGGGAAACCCTGCATCGGGGATAGCGAGCTGGGAAAGCTGCTGGCGGATAACTGGAAGAGCATCTACATCGAGCCTCAATCCTTGATCGAGGATGAGATAGCATCGGGTAGTCGGGCTGGTCTTTGTATAGAATTTAATTTGCGCTGCGGAAGATCGATCAGCGTGGATGTTATTATGAGATTGCTGCAGAAGAAGGTCAATAGTTTGGAAGCTCTTCACAGAGGATTCGTGATCTGCGGCTTTCCACTTATCTGCAACGATCTGTATGCACCGGATCCCGTCTCCTCAGAATCGGCGGTCTTTAATGTCCATGAAATATTCGACGATTTGGTGGACACTACTTTGGACTCTATTCTGCCTAAAGAAGATATAAAAAACGTTTCGAGGACTTCACGAGCTGAATCGATTCAAGGTGAAGAACAAGTGGAGGAGGAGGAAGAAAATGATCCAAATACCGTTGTGAAAATAGTAGCGACCGATGCAAACCTTACGCCTTTAATCCCATCTTCGATATCACTTAAGGATGAGAGAACTGATATTTGCTATGCATCGAACAAGTATTCGGATAACATAAGCCAAATGAACTTTATCTTCTCGTTGTTCACCACTAAAGATTACATCTTGATATACTTGAAATGTCCGAGTCCAGATGTCCTTTCAATTAGAGAAAACAACATTTGCGATCCGGTGACCTACGAAATACACAATCTGCTACCAGAAAAATCAGAGCGTAAAGTGTTCACTATATTCACCCTTTACCAACCTCGTGAGGATTACGAAAACGATTTACATCTGAAATACCTTCGATTGCAAAGAGATTTCCGCATTCACGTGAGGGCCCAATTGGAACGTTATCGCTTCGAAACCGAAACTGTTATCGAGAAATACATAATGTTGCACAATCAACAATATTTTATTAAATTGGATGGTCGAGTTGCGCCGCACAAGATGTTCCAATCGCTGAAAGCTCGCTTAAGAATCCTACCAATTTGTCCGTCCCTCATACCTCAAACTCTGATAGATGAAGATAAGGAAGATGTGGGTGAAGGCGGAAGCTCCGTTAAGGTCGACGTGGATTACCAAGATCAATCGCCCGAAGAATGGTTCAAATCCATGCGCACCAAACGTATCGCAGGACCGCTCTTCAAATGGACTTTATCCAATTGGGCCTACTTTTGTCCAATCGCCATGTCGCGTAGAAAGTTCGTGCAAGGAAACCCGAAATTCGCAACGCAATTTCTGAATAAAATATTCTTCCTGTACGACGAGAAAACTCAAGAAGATTTCATCAGGAATCCGAGGAAGTATCTGAAGCCGCCATTTCCCACATTCCAGTGCAGGGTCTTCGTTGTCGGACCAAAGAGCAGCGGACGAACGTCCGTCTCCACGTGCATATCTTATGCGATGAACGCCGAAGTTCTGACTCCTAATGGAATGATCCAACATTATTTCGATAACGGCGATCACAGCCTCTTGCAAGAAGCGAAGGAAGAGGAGGTGCGTAAGGCAATAGATATTTTGAAGCAAAGGCGAAGGGAGATATACGAGGAACAGGAAAAGGTTCGCTTGAACAGCATTGATGAGTATATAGCCAATGTCAAGTATCATATAACAGAGTACATACGTTGTTACGATGTAGTAAACAATTTTCAAGAGGTTGAAGTCACTTCATTGCCGGTACCGAAATTAAACGAAAAGACCTCTGATGTTCTGGACGCGGAGGCCATCATGAGTATGTCGACGAAAGCTCTATCTTTCATCGGAATTACCACAGACGATGTAGAATTGTTGAAGGAGTATTTGGAAAATGGTTTGCCTGACGATATGCTGCCCGAGGAGTTGCAGCCTCCGCTAGAATACAAATTTGAAATGATCCATAAGGAACATCCTTTTGTTATAGAATATGTCGAAAATGCGATGGGACAATACAAGAAAATTCCAAAAGAGAAGCATATTGATTTAGATACAATGCTGAATTGTTACATGTTATCAATACAAAACGCTGAAGCTAATATAGAAAACAACGTATCGAATGGTTGGGTAATTGATGGGTTTCCATTGGATATAGAGTTTTTCGACAAGATCTGCCAGGAAATTAAGCCGGATTTGGTTTATCTGTTGAACGATCCGCCGCAAGGATTTTACTTAAGGAAGGTGTTCAAAATACCTGATCGCACCGCTTTTCACGATTTCTACAATTTCTTCATGGAGAACGACAACCAAGTAATAGCCTCACGCATTCCGACCGCAGCTTTGAGTTTCAATAGAAGCATGAGACCAAGCGAATCTTTCGCTAACTTGTTAGTTGATTACATCGAACATCTGAACGATTATTCCCAGAAGTTCGATGAATTCATGGATTATTTAAAAGGGCAAGATGATATTAAACACAAAGAAATTGTAGTCACCGACAAGAGTATCAAGCAAATTATGAGCGATGTTCTTGTTGATATTCAAACGAGTAATAGTCAACAAGCGTACGTTTTCTCAGAGGAAGACAGACTGGAAGAGGTGGCGGATTTCGGTGAACCAAATTTGGAGGGTGAAGAATTGGGAGAGGGAAGCGAGTTCGATAAAAGCGAGAGCCAAAATTTGTTTGCTGAAAATAGACGATTGGGTGATACCAACGTCTTTTGTCCTGTGACTCTGAAGAAGCACGGCGTGCTCTGGCGCGGCAAAGAAGAATTCGGTGCTAAATATTTGAATAGTCTTTATTTCTTCAACAACGAGCAAAGCATGAATTCGTTTATATTGGATCCAAGGGAATACAGCTTCGAGAAGGGTTTTCCAAGGATTAGATGGCCTCCAAGAATTTGCGTAACTGGAATCAGGAAAATTGGTAAAACGACTCTCGCTAAGTCTATTGGCAGAAGATTGGGATTGTATTATGGAGATTTTGAAGGATTATTGAAAGCGTACGAGGGCGATTTTAACTTTGAAGGATATGTGCAGAATGACGAACCGATTGATGACGAAATTTTACTTTCAATTTTGGCGCCGTTTTGGTTCCAAGAACCACGCAAGTCGACTGGTTTCGTGCTGGACGGTTTTCCTAGAAGACCAACTCACATTGACTTTATGGTCAAACATTCGATGGTTCCGGATTTAATTATTGAATTGTCATGTCCAGAGTACGAATTGAACAATAGATTGATGACTGTTTTACTGGACGAGTGGCAGGTGCAAATGGATGAGGAGAAGGAGGTTGAGGAAGTGCAGAATCATGAGATGATGGAGTTGTGGAGGAACGAGAGGGAAGCTCGGATGAAGCAGTTGTTAAGGCAAAGGAGGGATGAGAGGTATGCTTTGCACGATATAGAGGAAGAAGATGAGGAGGAAATTGAGGGAGAGACATCGAGGTCTCTGATAAGTATAAAATCTGTTGATGACGCGGAAGATATTAGGAAAGTCGAGGAGTTTCTGGAAGCGGAAATGCCCGAACCTGTATTCGAGGATAATTGGGAAACGCTGGAGATGGCGACGGAAAGACTGCAAGGCGCGTTGGAAGAAACAAATACTTTAGAGACGAATTTCTTAACGTTACTGCACGAACTCTGCGACAACGAATTGATGCCTTGGGTTTCCATAGATGCAAGTTTAAGCGCCGATAAAGTTTACTACCAAGCATACCGACAATTGGATTCCATCAAGTTCCGAAACGAATCATTTTTGGAACGCGTCTACGATATTTCCGTTGATATGGCTGATAAACTTCTACAGCAGGGTTACTACTTCTTGAGTCGCTTCGGAAAAATCTGTCCCGTGCAGATATATGAAAAATTCAATTTCATCCCAATGTTTTTTGCGGATGAGAGTAAATTCGAGTTATTCCCGATGATTTACCGGCATCATATTTATTTTATATCTGGACCGGAGAACAGAAAAAAGTTTAAGAAAGACGTTTTGAAGTACGTGAGACAGAGTTCGTCAGCCTTCAAATTGATCCCGACGCGAATAGCCATCATAGGTCCTCCAAAGTGCGGTAAAACAACCATTTCTGAACGTCTTCAGAAAGAGTACGGATTTAAATTGATCAGCGTCGGTGAAGCAATTCGTTTTGTGCTCAAGTATATGGCCAATTGTACTCTGGGTTTGGATGTGGAGGAAATTTTGAGAAAAGGTGAATATTTAACAGATGAATTGGCTATGCAATGCGTCGAAGCGATGACTTTCGAACCGAGGGCTGTTGCCATTGGTATGATCTTTGATGGATTTCCCAACACCATGATTCAAGTGAGAGAGTTGGCCGCTATGAATTTGGTGCCGAATTTGATCGTCGGTTTGGAATCTAACGATGACTACATTTACCAATACATGGATATAAACCCCAAGACTCACATGCCTGAGTACTCTAAAAAGTTCATTGGTAATCGCATAATGCATTGGCGCAAAACCTTTAGTATCTTTAATAAGTGGATCGACGATGAGTATCAGAATTTGGGAAAGATTCAGGTGGAACCATCCAAATGGCACGTCTGGGATGGAGTCAACAATCTGTTTTTGGCTGTAGTTTCTGAAATTTCCTTTTACCATAAATATTGTGAAAAAGATATGGCCTTGAGAATCGCCAATATGTTGGTAACGCCATTGGAATTTCTGCAGCGAAAAAGTGCGTTCAGGAATTACTGTCTATGCTGTTTATATTTCTCCAATGTCTTGAAATGCGGAGGTTGTCCTCCAGACAGAACAGGTTTGGTGCAATACTTGGATGAGTTCTACTGGCTCTGCGATAAACACATCGAAGAGTTCCTGGATTATCCGTTGAAATTCCTTGGAGTTAACATCATCCACACGTTACCTGAGAAGCTTCCAACGCCTGTAATTTTAGAATCAATGCCGGAGAACTGCTACGAAAACGGTATTTGCGTTGTATGTTTAGAGGATAACAAACCGGATCGGGTTTTCGTTCAAGGATCTATTGAATTTGCCGTTGAATACGGCGACTGGATTTACTTATTCGATAATCAAGAATGCTCTGCGAAATTTATGTCTTCACCTTCTGTCTACTTCAGATCGAAGATTAGTTTCTTAGGCACCGATTTTCCGTCGATGGATATTCACAGTTTACCTAATTTGGGTTTCCTGGAGCAGTTCAATGCGACGCAGGTGACCAAAGCACTTATTAACACGAATTCGTTGAGACCTTTAGTGCCCGGCTTGGATATTAGGATTTCAGCGTTGATTAACATAGGGCTTCAATTGAAATTGAAGAACCCGAACACGCCGGAGGATTATTTACCGCGGTACGAGGAGGCTAAATTGCTGATGAAGAAACGTCGTGATAGGTTGTTGGAATGTTTGGCTACGCTGAAGAAGTCGTTGAATCCGTTGTTACATTATGATGAACCATTGGGTCCTTTCCAAATGGATGTGTTCAATGAGCAAAGGGATAGTGTTAGAGGGGAATCGCAGAATTCTGCGGACAGTTGCATCCATTTGGTGCTCAGCGATATTCTAAATAACATCATCTACTAATAATAAACGTATACAATTTCGCATCCTCGTTTCTGTTTTAGTTCTTGTTCTTGTTGTAATTGTTGTTTTGACCTGAATAATTTGTTCCAGCACGTCGTGTTCCAGTCCCGGATACCAGATACGATTATCTCTGTGATTACTTCAAGCCAGCTAGGTAAGTATCGACAATTTGGAATTGATTACTTATGCATGCAAGGCCTATTAATGAAACGGTAGCCGATGGGAAATTATACAGACCGAAAAATCAAAGATCATCCATTTCGGCTTCACGCAATTACGAAATCTTAAGGCGACACGAGGCTATTTAGCGCCAACGAAATACCCAACAAAAAAAAACTAAACTTAGAAGCGGTCTGGAAGAGGAGGAATACTAATAATAACAAAGTACAAAAAGAATTACATAAGAGTAGAGAAGAGGAAAAAGTGATTATCGAATAGTAATTGTGTTTGATGGTCCTTCCTCCTCCGGTGGATTGGACTGGACTGGTCTCCTCTTGTGTCGGTAACGACGGTGGGAACGTCCCTATGGCGCCTACAAATTGGCAGCACCCTCATTAGTCGTGTAGACCAACAACAATTACCGTAGCGCCGGGAAAAGATGAAGGAAAATCTCTTTAGTCGCTTTCGGACATCGTCCATTGTTGATTTCTTATAATGAAATGGATGTAGTCTGTGCGGCTCTTGTCCATTCAGGTTTATTATCATTAGGGACATTAGTCCACAATTCTGGATCCATCATGGTCTGCGCGCGGTTACCGAGGGTGTTTATTATATAAGTATTTACCGTTTAAAACGCACGCATCCGGTCCGGTCTGCGGCTCGTTGTTTGCGATTTATCACTTCGTCGAAAATTATTGTAATTACGAGTGGAAATTGTTAGGGCCGATTCATTTTCTCGCATTATCCGTTTTATTACTACAACAGCAACAAACCTAACGTTCTTCATTCGGAGGTCCAGAGAGGAAAACGTAACGAAATTATATGTTGTTCGTTCATTTTTTTATTCCTTGTATTTAATGTTGCGTAATATGGTTATAATAACGCTGTAGATTTTGTTGAATGAAACAAATTATGCGACTTTTCGGAGAAGATGCTTTCTTTTGTAAATTTTTAAATTTCTATAATTATTAACAATTTTCTTGCAACTACTATTTATCATATTTATATCACAAATGTTTTGCGCAAATTGTATAATCATTTTATAAAATAACTTTTTTTCCTAAACTAATTCACTCTATTTAGTTGCAACTGCCTTTTATCATATTTCTTTTAGAAAGTTTTCTTTTTTACTTTTTGGAAATTGCATGTTCATGTTTGAAGCATTCAAGTGGATTGCAATTTTTTAAGTAAATTTCTATAATTATTTACTTAGTTTTCACACAACTAATATTTATCATATTTATATCATAAATGGAACATTAAAGATTCTTTAGAAATATTTGTTTGGAAATTGAAAAATAACTTTTCTTCTAAATTTAGTTGCAACTACCATTTATCATATTTCTATTATTAGTACTATAGACATATTTTAAATTATATAAGAGTGTTATAATGCATTTAACTTATTGTTACACCGAGATAACTTACAAGACTTTTATTATCCTATTTTTTAAATTTATATAATTATTTACTTACATTTTTCTTTATACAACTACTATTTTTTAAATAATTTTGAAAGATTTAAATTACGAATAATTTTAGATAATACAACATATTGTTCCATCATATTTTTTTATTAAATCTTTTACAAACGTAAATCATACCTGTATTATAATATATATAATATATACTAAAGTATTTAGAAACATTTTTCACTTGTAAATTAATCTTATAATACGAAATTATTTAGTTAGTTTGTTGCTAACTTTGATCTAAGATGTAAATTAATGTTATAATGAAAACGCATTTATTTTCTTATTCTATGGAAATGTGTTATAATAGATACATAAGTTTGTAAATTATTGGAATCAAAGTATGTATAATAAGGTAATTGAACTAGTATTAAAAAATAAATAAAAACTGAAGTGAACACCATTAACTTGCGAGGAAGACAAAATTTTGGTTCTTTCCACATATATATTAATTATTTTTTGTAAGTTTTTATACATACATTTATGTGATTAAGTAAATTAAAATTTGATAAATGATTTGATTGATATTTGGATAAATTTCTTATTAGTTTCTATATGTATCAATTCTTGAAAGAAAATTGTAGTGAATGTAAAAGGGTTGTATGAGAAATTGATTTATAAAGATTAGTATAGTAGTGCGTGCATACGGTTTTTAGTCATAGTGTGTTTGCACCTATATTTTAATTATTCAATCTTTCAAGGATTTGAATTTATTTAAAAAAATAAAATTCAGAGATTTTGTCTCTTCTTTGGTGATAAATTGTTATTTGAAATGTCAAAAATCAACTAGTTTTATTATCACATTTGCAGTACTTTTTATATGTGAAAAGCGAGAGAAAGCTTGAAAAATAGATTTATAAATTTCAATATATTGCTTAAACTTGGCGAAAATTAAACTTTATAAATAGATTAAAAGACTTTTGTTTAATCTTTCTAATCCTTGAAGTTAAGCCAAATTTATGGAAAATGATGTTAATGGAGACAATTTCTCCTTCATTGACATATTTTTAGTCAATTTGAATAGTTTTATTTTATTTTTGTATATAAGTTTAAATTACTATAAGTAGTATATGTGAAAAGCGTACTAAAGCTTGAAAAATAAATTTAGAAATTTCAATATAAAGGGTGTCCCAAAGATTTGAATTTGCCGCCATTGGTGCAGTAAAGTGTTGGCAACCCCTAAAAATCACAATCTGAAGACTAAAAACTGTGTTTTCTATTTAATTCAAATCTTGTGTTAATTTTGGGACACCCTTTACGCAGTGTGTATATTCCCTTATATTGTTTAAACTTACTGTTTTTTGGTGTTAAGAATGTATTTTGATAAATTTATGTATATGGAAAGCTTTTATTGAATTTCTCGTAGTAAAGTATTATTTGAAACGTCGAGTGTTAACTAGCTTCTATTAAGAGGGAGAACTTGTGTCGTAGTGCAGGCAATTACAATTAGGAGGGTGGATCCGCGAGGCGTTTTGTATTTATTAGGCGGCATTGAATTTCATCCCGAAGGGTGGGATGGGATGAAATTCGGCACTAGTTAGTTCGAGCATATGCCCTTTGTATGCATCCCTACTATCCATAAGCCAACTCCGCTCCTATCTACATACATTTATCCAGACATAGAGCAAGCGAGCGAGCACAAGTCTACAGTATAAGTACAGTGTAGTGGAGACACACGCATACAACACCCTTTGATCGTCGGGACCTTAATGAAGATTCGCCCTATAAACCCATCCAGAGACAGTCCCCCCAATTCCATGCAACCGTTTCCTTTTCCACCCAAAAACGGAGAAAACCCGCCCTCATCTGACTTGCAGATTAACCCGGCAGTCGTCCATAAAAAAAACCCCTTTTGACATCATTTTCCCCATTTTATTTTTACGGCCGATTTTCTCCGCCAAAAAATTTACATACGTCGCAATCAATTCCAACCTCCGCCCATCCATAAAGAAGAGAGCCGCAACCCCCAATTTCCAATGATGTCATCCTTTACATAAACCGAGCGTAATTGATAAGATTTACATTCTTCTGATCAGAATGATGATGATCATCATAATAATATAATGATTCCCGACGGAAGTGACGTGCGAATAGTTTTAAGGGCGGGGCGAGAGTCGCCAGGGCAACAAAATTAATGGCGTCAATGGCTGATTACGTAATTTACATTTTAATTCACACACGTTGGCGAATGCATGTCTGCAGCCCAATTATTTCTCCCTTTCTTCCTCGCAAAGCGAACGCAAAAACGCGAAAAAAAGAGTATATAAAAAAATGCGCTGTTTGCGAGGGAGGCGCCACGGGAGCGAGCGAAAATGGAAAATGTGAGGGAAAACACGGTAGAAAATGTAAAATAACAGGGAGAACGGAGAACGCGCGTTAATAATTACTTTTAACTGTTTTAATTATTTATAGTCGGCTGCGCCATTAAAATAATTATTTTCTATAATGGTGTTTTATGGCCGTACGAAAAAAAAACTGTTTATACTTGGAGAGGGCTGAAATGTAAAACGCGTCGTATTAAGTTATTAATTTTTATTCAAATGCGTGATTACAAATGGTGGATGCGAGTAGAATACACGAAACGTTTATACATCTTTTTTTTTCATGTGTTTAATTCATTTATTTTTGCTGGAATACAGCAGTTATAATTCGTATTTGATATAGTAAAATTTCTAAAGTTATAGTTTCTATTTGGAAAGAGAAAAAATATTAAAGAAATTGATATATTTTAACTCCTTTGAAGGGCGAGAAAAAAAAATTGTATGCATAGTTTTAAAGAATTTGCTTATGGTAATTCCTCTTTCTTGTACTTTGTCCAGAAAATTAAGATATAATTAAAAAGGTGGTGGCGCCTACCACCGTCCTTCAAAGATATAACATACATTTTATTTTATTGTTTAATGTAACTATTTATTTAGAGATGAAAATACCGAAGAATATTTATATTTGTAATCAATTATATAAAAATATTTCGACTTCAATAGTTCTTCTAAAGATGTGTCCACATTATACGTGATATGGGACATAAATTTATGTACAGCTATACCAACTATAGTTTATAGTTATTGGATATACAGCAATATATACCTCGCATAGTGAGTTTTGCTAATATCCTGGACTAATCGAGGATATTAATCGCATAATAATATAGTGACAAAATAGAACATAAAAAAATATTTTCTGTATTAAATTTGTTATTATTTTGTCAATAAAGTAAATTTTAAGTTTGTTTTGAAATTTTCAAACATGATTATTGTGAATCCGGACTGATCGAAGCGAAGTATTTCTCTAATTGAATTTTATTACTGAAAAACTGAACTCACACTTCTTTCATTCTAAATCTACTGCAATAACATATTAATACTTAATTCCTTCGAATTACATAGTTAATAATTAAATTTGTCCTTTATTTCTGACAGTATTCATAGTAGAAATTAAAGTTATTTTGATTTGAGTATAGATATTCACTTTTGTAACGATTATATATATTAACAATATTAATAATTGTTTATGAAACAAAATATATAAGTTTGTGAATAATAAATTAATAATAAATATTATCGAAACAATTCTAATATACTTTTAGAAATGCTTAAGAAATATTCGTAAATTACTAAACTCATACAAATTTTAAAGAAACTCACTATTCCTAACATTATTTGATACATATTATGTTCATGTAATATTTAAATGCATGTTTTCAGTTATATTTATAGCTTTAATATAAATTTTCTTAATTATGAATTTAGTATTTTTTTAATACAATTTGTTAGGTAAAATTATAAACATTTAAAACAACTAGAAAATAGCACAAAAATAAGAGAAAATTAGAAAAAAAGTTTAAGAAACATTTATTTATAAACAATTGTAACTTACGTTCGCACTGATATGATTTTTTTTTACAATATCAAATAATTCTTATATACATAATGTAGTTGTTTTTATTTGGGAAAAGGAAAAGACAAAGTAAGAAACTTCAAATACAATTTATAATATATGAAAAATTACACACAAGAAAGAAGATTTACTTCAAAATATGAATGTAAACAGTATTTGTAAACTATAATTATGTTAAGTTTTTTAAAAACCACACATACACATATACCACACATATTTCTCAGGAAACTGTGTAAATCGAAATTGTAAGTATTTGAATGAGAAACCGTGTAAATTGAAAAGTATACAAAATAAAACGCATAATTTCGTTGTTTATTAATTATGAATTTTTCTTCATTTTTTTTATAAAAAAAATATATTAACTCTTGTATTAATTTAATACAATGTACAAGAGAATAAAAAATTAAATCTAAAAAATTCATAAAATAAATTGAATTTTTAACCGTGTAAAAGCACAAACGTGTTAATAAAGTACCGTGTAAAACGAGTTATAGGTGTATTTTGGTATTTTGTTGTGTAATTGTTAAATGCGTGTTTAGATTATAATAAAATTGATTACTCTCGGATAATGATAATTTGATTATCGAAAGGAATATAATTAATGCACACGCAATTGTAGCCCTATTAAATCCAATGAATCACTACTATGTTAGAAACTTTATTATTATTATTTTTTTTGTGTACTTAATTCATTCGATTGCGTGTGCAGCATTTTTTTATTTTATAATTGTATTCTTCACGGAAAAAAAATACCTCGTAATTAGTTTTCGCCATTTTAATTAATTCCCGCGGCCATTAAAATAAAAAAATATCGACGTTGGCGGCGGCGTCAGCGACGGCGGAGGATACATTTTATTATGATTATGCCGACGACGTCGTCGTTTCCATGGATTAAATGGCAGGATAATATCCTTTAAAAGCGTGTGTTTTAGGGCCGGACGGGTCGCGTGGCTAACCACCATTGACTCGCTAATCTGATGTGATTGAAGTTTATTACATGGCTCCGGTTGACAGCCTGTCACGAATGCGTTTCCAAGGATAATAATAATAATGATAAAGATTTTCCCTTGTTTTTTTTTTCTCGTGTTTTTTTTTCTTCCTTCGCAAGGAATGAAATTAAATGTGAATACACACACAAACGCAGGACCGTGCCCAAGTATTTTCGCATCCGGTGTAACAATTGTATGCATTTTACACTTATTAGTAACTTCTATGTAATTGTGCGTACACACTATTAACCAATAATATTTAGTTGATACTTATGACATCTAATAACAGTGATAAACATTAGTACTTGTGTTTTTCAAAGTAATTGCTAAATACTTGTGTATATACTTAATTCGTATGTAATTGTACATTCACACTATTAACCAATAATATTTAGTTGATCTAATGACAGTGATAAACATTAGTACTTGTGTTTTTCGAAGTAATTGCTTAATACTTGTGTATATACTTGATGATAGTTTTTAACCTTTTTGACATGGAATTGTTTTCCAAGTTGTAACACTAATTGTTACTTTTCAAGTACTTAGGAAGTACCAATTCTTTTAAAGATTTTTCAGTAATATGTATATAATTTGTTTCTCTATATTTTTGATAATGTGAATCAATAGATACAAATCGAAAACACAATGTAAGATGTTTTAAGCTCTCTATTCATATCTTATGACAACGATAAAAAATTGTGTTTTTTGTGTTATTCGAAGTAATTGCTTATTACTTATATACTTATTTATATGGTAACATGGTAATAGTTTTGAACTTTTCTTTAACATGGAATTGTTTTCCAAGTTGAATATGTACACATTAATTGTTACTTTTCAACTACTTAAAAAGTACCAATTTAATGTGAAAGAAAAAATAAAAATCTATGAAATTTTAAGTTCTTTATTAATTTATTACATAAAATGTAAATTATCTAAATAAGTTAAAATAACATAAATGTAACTTTGTGTTGTGTTTTGTGATATTCGTTATATCAATTTCTTCCTCAGTCCGAAAATAGTTGCTACATTTCACTTCGATTTTTGTCCAGAAATAATTGGTACATTTCGTAAGAAGCAAGTAAGTGGGGAGTTACTGATTTTTTTTTTGTTAATTTGGAGAGAAAATATAGATAAATCATAAACACATTTTAAACATTATTTTGAAAAAAAAATCGCGCTGTTTTAACGGCGTTTCATTTTATAGGAGTCATTAAAGTCGAACTTTGTCATAACTTCTCATCGGTCAACAACGGTTTTACAAAACTTGTAACTGCCTTAGTGTCTTTTCCTTTTGGGAACTTTTTATTTATATGTCAATGATCTTAGTGATTCTTTTGCAGAATTGTGGAAATGAGTTGATTTTTGTAGATTTTAGTTGTTAATTTTACACAATTGTTTCCTCAATTTTGAAATTGTGCTCTCCATTTGAATCTATGGTATTTTAAAATAAATGATTCAAAATTCGCTTGCGATCATCATTACAAAATTCTCCATTTTAAAGTTTCGGTTATGTTACAGCGGTTAAATAATTGAGTATGTAAGAATATCATTTTTGCAACAATAGTGTAAAACAAAAGCGCAACGAATTTAAAGAAAGTTTGGCCATCATAAAAAAATAAATATGTTAAGAGAAATTAATTAAATTAAATGTTTCCAATAATCTGGATGTGAAATTGAAATGTAGCAACTATTTACTATTACTTATAGTAAAAAAAACTTATATAAATTCATTGGATTTAATAGTTACATTTCTTTTTTTTAAATTTTTAATTGTGTCATGTTCGTAACTCAGAAACAACAAAGAAGAAGAAAACAAAGGGTTGCTATAATTCAATGGGTTGGACGTATAATCTCGTGTCGTCCAAGTTAATTGAAATTTAATCTGTACGTAGGATAATTGATTCCTGCTGCGGGGAACCGAAACCCAATCGAACCGCGCTTAATTATGTAACGTGTTTGCTCTAACGGATTACTACTTCGGATTACAGCAAAGTGCCCGCATTCCTGAACGTCGTCGACATCGCCGGTTTGGTGAAGGGAGCCTCAGAAGGGCAGGGATTAGGAAACGCTTTCCTCTCGCACATCAGCGCCTGCGATACCCTCTTCCATCTGTGCCGTAAATATTATATTATATAAACCTTTTAACTTATTGAAATGTAACGATTTTTGTGTGATTCAGGTGCTTTTGAAGACGATGATGTAACGCACGTCGAGGGCGAGGTGGATCCCATCAGGGATTTGGAGATTATCGGCGAAGAGCTGAGATTGAAAGACGAGGACGCGCTGATGAAGAAGTTGGAGAATTTGGAGCGCACCGTCGTCCGCGGCAACGACAAGAAGATGAAGCCCGAATACGTGAGTTGCGAAATGGTGGTTCTTCAACCTTTTACACAGAGATCTCCACCCGATAAACCTCACCCTCTCCGCGGAATCTTAATGAAATCTCCGTCGGAAGACGACGACGTGGTTCACGTTCGCCAATTATCGTGATAAAAGGAGCGTTTTGTCTTAATGCTCATTTTTTTCTTTCTCTCCTGATGTTCATTTTCTTCTTATTAATACTCGTTTTTCTTTTTCTTCTTTAATCTTGATGCTCATTTTAAGCGTTCTGATAATTGGAATTTTTTCCTCTCATCTGGTGCGAATGAGTCGACGGGATTCGGTGATTCGATTAGTGTCCCTTGTTGTTCCTCTCCTCTTTTCTAATCCATTCTATTTGTATTTGTATGCACGGTTCTTTTCTATCCTTTTGGTTTTGTTTGGGGGTCCGGACACGAGCCGAGGCGTGGTTGCATCCCGCTGGGCCGCGGTGTGCCCACCGTCAAGTGATATCCCATTAGTCCGAACCCCCCATTGGGACCACTACAAAAGATCACCTTAATTTGCACTTTTTACACGTTTCAGGACACTCTGGTTAAAATCAAAGGTGTCCTCGTTGATGACAAGAAACACATTCGTTTCCACGACTGGAATGTCAATGAAGTAAGTACAAGTACCATAATTTCAATAGTCGCATTTCTACAAATATCATATTTACTACTTAATTTATCATGGCGTTTTACATGTAATTTTAATTAAAATTGAATTTATTACTTAAGACTTTTCAAGTAATACTTGTGATATCATCAGAATACTTTAACTGGAAAGAAATGTATATATTTAATTATTTTTTAAATTAAATATTGGTATTAGTTTAATAACTTAGTCTTACTTAATACTTATGACTTGTCAAGTAATACTTGTTTAATAGCAATTATATGTATATAATTAATTATATTTAAATTTGTGATTGCCATTAATTTAAATATTTACTCGTAGTCCATACACTACTTGTCAAGTAATACTTGTGATATCATCAGAAAACTTTACTTTTACTTGAGTATTTTACAAACATACTCTTACTTTACTTACGACTTGTCAAGTATTACTATTAATATTGTCAGAAAACTTTTATTGCTATAAAATATACAGATTTATTTATATTGAATTGCTTAATGAATGAATGAATTAGGTAATTCGCTGCAAAAATCTTAAAAAAAAAAATTCAACACCAAGAATGTTTTATAATACTTACTCTAAAGTGCAATTTAGTGACTTTGTTTGCTTATTTATAACAGAAAAACTCAATTAAAAAAAATCTAAAAGAATATGCTAATTAATTAAATTTAACATAATTATAGTCATAATTCAAAAAAACTGATATATAAATTTTATTATTTTACAATAAAAATACATAAATTTTAGAATATTTCTGAATCATCTCTCTATTACAGTAATAAATTTTACTTATGTCTATTATTTCTATAGAATTCGTTTTTGGATAACGTAATAATTTATAATAATTATAAATCACTAGGAATATTTTTGATTAATAAATCTTATTTATTTCTAATTTATTCTATTAACTTTATTGAGCCAATAAATAATAGAAATGAAAGAAAGGAATTTGTTAAAGTTCAATCGGCTGTAAATAATCCAGTTATATAATAGCAACCTTTAAATTGAATGGTAAATGTTTTTGAAAAAAAAAGAAGCCACATCCTTTTGTAATTCATTGATGGAGGAGTACCACTATTTTTAAATATGATTCGTCGGCAAAAGTAATGTGAAAGTACAGATAAATTTATAATTTAAAAGCTTCAAATGAATTTCAATGAACGTTACTTTTACATTGAATTTCATTACGTTTCTTACTTAATTTACCAAAACAATGATTCAATTAACAACAATTTGTATCTATATTGAAATAAATATAAAGAAATGTAGTTTCTTACTTTTTTTATAACTTAAATTAAATAAAAATTTTGAAAAAAAAAATATTTTGATGAATTTTCAAAAATTTTATTATATTTTTGTCAACTTTTTTATTTTGTAATTAACAAAAATTTAAAATGTACCTGACTGAAAACAGTTAAGTAATTTGCTTAAATTATTTTAAATTAATAAAACTATAGTACAAATAAATTGTAGAGTTCACTTCAATATTTATATAAATATTTTGAGGAGTAAATTTTGAAAGAATGATATTGAAATAAGGATGGACATGATAGTATTTAAACTAATATTTGGTGAATTAAAAAGGTTTGGAAAAGAATGATATTTAAAACGGGAGTGAAAATGATATGGAATTGGTGGTGTTGTAAAATGGGGACCCTCCGGTGTTTTTCTCTTTTCAATTTATTAATAAGAAATGATGGATTGGGTGTGGAACCGAATTGATATTTGCCCTGAGTCATGCCGATGCGGACACAATCTTGTATTTGATATGGAATCGGAATGGAGAAGAAGGGAAAAAAAGAATGAGACTCTCCGAAGAATGAAGAATCAGAAAGAAGAACAACGTGTCCCGCGGCGCGAGAATTTCACTGTCTCTCTCACTCTCTCTCTGGGTGTCAATTTGTATCCTCAGACATCACCAGGTGGTGATGTACCACAAACTGATCATTTATTAGCTGTCACATTAGGATGCCCGAAAGTAAAACGCCAGATCATGCCAAAAAAAAAATAATCAATTTCACCAAAAAAAAAATATGTGATGCACTGATTCCATCTGTTTCTTTTTTTCCTCATTCAGATCGAGATCCTCAACAAGCATTTATTCCTGACGTCGAAGCCGGCCATCTATTTGGTCAACCTCGCCGAGAAGGACTACATCAAGAAGAAGAACAAATGGTGAGATGATACCTACACACGTGATCATAATCCAATAATGCTATTAATACGAGAGGAGTATTCGAGACGCGCGATGCACCTTCTTATTGCTTCCTTTTTCCTCATCCTCCTCTTCGTATTCTTCTGCGAGGAGTTAAACGCGCCATCTCATCGACCCTAATGGGCCCGGACAATACCCATGACACAATGATGCGGCCCACTCTCTTAATTACCGCGCCGAGCGTAATAATGGCAACCTGATTGCTTTTGATCTCGGGCCGCGGTTTCATCAGCAAAACCACCAAAAAGGAAGAAGTCGCTTTCACGAAGACGTAGAGGATAAGAGAGTCCGCTAAAAACTTAAACAAACCGCATAAAGCAAACATATGCGCTCTATTAAGTAGACCCGAAAAAAAAGGTGGTCTGATCTTCTCTGTCTCCGTCGACATTTGGTGCATTGAAGAGAAAGGGTTTCGAAATTCCTTCTTTAATATCATGAATTATGTAATTTCACGTCGGTATTTTAATAATGTACCCTTAAATTACCCGACCTCCCCCGACATACTTTCCACCCATTTCGTGGGAATCTTTTTTTTTTAATATCCAACGTTTCGCCAGGTTGATCAAGATCAAGGAGTGGATAGACAAGAACGATCCTGGATCCGTGCTCATCCCGTTTTCGGGAGCGTTCGAGTTCAAGCTTTTAGAGATGGAGGAAGACGAGAGGAAGAAGTACCTTGAGGAAACCAAGACGACCAGGTAAGAGAAGTTTATTTTATTTATTTTTTCATCTGCTACCATCAATGATACAACTGAACTGCTGCAATCTGCAGCAGCAGCAGAAGCATCATCAAGACGGACGGGAAAAGAAAGAAGTCGAAGTTTCGAGTGAGGTGCACCTCCCTAATTGCCGGTTTTTGTCTTCCCCAAATAGACATCGGGTCCGAATTGAAAGATGATGAAGACCGGACCGCAATTATGATCATTATTATTATAAAAAAAATAAGAGACAGACCTTAATTCGTATTTGTAGAAAAATATTTACAAAACTCAACGCTAATGTGCACTCTAACCGTAGAGGTGCTTTTGCAATTTTTGTTCTTAAAATTCATTTTTATTTTTGCAAACCTTTTTGTTGCTAGTCATTTCTTAGGAAAGCAGAATTTGCGACTGGTGATTCTTGGGTGATCCATTAAAAATAAATTGCTTTTGCGTATTTCTTCTACGCGGTAATGAAGCATTTAAGCATAGTTTCTTTTATTTCTTTTTTTTGGTTTTCTTAATGCGGTCTTTGGAGGAAATGAAAATGGAGGAGATTTTGAAAGAAAATAAATTTAAATTACTGTAATCGTCATTGCTTTTTTGTTTGAGACGTCCCAAATTGCGTGGTTGTTGCTGTAATTGAGTTATACGTACGTCTGCAGTTACTATAATTATTTATTAAACTCATAAATTATTTTAATTGAAAATATACGTTAATTATGTCTCATGTTCAATAAACATATTGATTATCACTAAAAACAATAATCTTATAAATTATTAAATAAATTCAATAAAGCAAAACTTTATATAGTGCGGATAATCTGTTTGAAACCGTACTAATTGAGGATTTTGAAACAGCTTAAAAAATACTGAAAAAAAATTGTGTACTCACTTTTTAGAATTTATTTTAAATTTAGTTTGTTTTGGAATTACGCACTGATGGAAGCCGCACTATGCGAGGTATTGCTGTACTAATTAAACAAAACACAGATTATTATCGAAAATATTTCATATCCCAAAAAAGTAAATAAATAAATATTAATACAAAAAGTATCACAAAAACAATGCTTCTTTTCATATTTATTATGAAATCAATAGAATATTGATAAAACGGAAAATATTATTTGACATTAATTATAATTATTTAATTTTTATTATTGATACTGTCTTTTTTCTATTTTATTAATTTATTTACAATTTTTTTATAGAAAAAATATGACAAAAAGCTTTATTTTTTCTATAAATAAAAGAATGATTTTATTTGGTTTGGAAGAAATATATAAGTAATAAGTACTGTGCCAAAAAAATAAATAATAAATGGAATTTACTGAGAATATAAGAAATACAACAACTTCATTTGGAACATATCCAAATCGCTCGAATATTCATCAAACTGAATGCACTATTATTTGATATTTATTATGTTTGAAAATAACTGCTGTTGGAAAAATTATATTTAAAATAAGAGTTAACTCTTACAAATGTTTTGCAATATTTTGATTATAAATTTGTTTATTTACAATTTTGTATTAACTTTAATTTTGGCTAATCCAGTGAAAGCCCGAATATTTTTATTATTGAATAATTTGAAAATTTATTGACAAAAATAGGATTTTTTTATATTTTATCATTGAAATTAGAAACCTAGAATTTGGATTTACTTAATTTTCAGGATCTGTAAGTAAATATTAAGAAAATAAACATTATTTTATAAGAACAACAAATTATTAGATTACAATCTGTAAAATTGGGATAAAAATTGAAGAAAATAATTTTAATTATCAATCTTTTACACAGTTACTACAGTTAAAATAGGTAAATTTTACGATCAAATTTAAACATTTACATTCCAAATAAACACGAATATTTGTGTAAATTTGGTATAAAAGTGGAGGAACGTAATTTATATAATTACTGTCTTTTGTATGGTAAAATACCGTTGGAATAAGTAAGGTTTACGATCATATTTGAGCGTTTATAGCCCAGATTAAATTAACTGTACTTTCTAAAAAAAAGAGGATGTATGTTGTGCTGTTTAAGAGGGTTTTGTTAGAACGCAAATCAACCACATGGCATCATTAATTTCGATAGGGTTAGGCAATGTGCATTCCGTAATTGACTTTAATATCCTTTTTAAATTATATACATTTGCTGTGCACAAAGGTAATGCATATTGCAATTAGACTCACATTAGTAAAAGCAAATAAACAATATGTTCTATATCAAGACAAATAGAGCAAATCAAACAAAAGTTGTATATTCTTTGATAATTCTAATTGAAGAATGAAATAGTAATAATATTTATTAAAATTATCAAATTGAAAAATAATCAGTTTTACAAAGGGCATTTTTTTTGTCCTCGAAAATATTTATATTTGACGATGAAGATTTTAGAGAAAAGTATTAAAAAATGTTCTTTTAAAATATTCAAGTTGTTTATTCTAGACTTATTGCATCTTGTTCTTAGTTTAATTGAAATTAATACTCAGAATTGTATGTGAATTACAATAAAATGATGTTAAATTTTCCATGAACCAAACAATAATATTTTCAAACTAATTTACTTAATGTTCTTAAAGAATCATGTATTTATGTATACACACTTATTTGCGACGTTTTACAATATAATTCAAGTGGAACAAACACAAATAGTTTTCAAACGAAATAAATTTTCAAAATTTTAATTAATTTGTCACATATATTTTTGAATTAACCTGTTTTGAAATGTTGCAATTATAAAGTAATTTTTATTTTTAATTAAAAAGTAACTTAATTGATAAATAAAAATGAAAAAATTGTTACATCCACACTTTAATTTACACAAGACTTAATCTCTGACAGGTGTACCAAATATAGAGACATTATTTTGAAGAAAAGTAAACAAATAACTGAAATTAACTTCAATTTTGTCACTGTTTTAGTCACTACAGTCTGTCTAAAACAGAAGTTGAAAAACAAAATTTGAATGCGCCCTGCACTATCTACTCGTATTATCATCTTCTCTTCACCTGCATGTCTTTTGTTCATTTGAGAAATGTTATATTTTCGATAAATTAAATGAAAATTTAACATGGAAATCAATTAGAATTATATTAATAATCTTGAATTATACTGTCGTGTCGCAGAAATGGAATTCTGGACACAGTGGATTATTGTCTTGTGTTGTCGTTGGTAAATCATACAACTGAGACTTGTAGGAATTAAATAATTAAGTTGGTTTTAAACAAGTTTATAATAATAATTGGTACTCTTGGGGTCCTTCTTTCCAAGACAATGTAGATACTTTAATTTCCACAGGATTCGGCCTTGGTGGTTTTGTTTGTTATAAGACTGGGACAAAATCCTATGCATTTGTTTATATGAAAAAGATGATTGATTACGACTGTACGTGTAATGATCATTACTTGTTTATAATTAGAACTTGAATTCGGAGTAAAGGTATAGGAGTATTGATGGGAATGTCTACGCTTTATCCCATTTGTTTATATTAAATTGTATCGAACTGGGATCACGGTAGACATTCCTTTAAGCCGATGTATATGTTTATATAACTAAGAGACGCCGTGGATGTCTCTAGTTCGTTAGTACACTATATTAATAATAACAATTATAATAATGGTTGGACACAACAAAACTTTTCTTCGATTATTTAAAGGTCTATTTTGATGAAGTTTTTATACTTCTTAATAGTTGTATAGTATTTATGAAAATATAATTGATTGAATCGTAAATAATTTACAAATTATTCAAATTGTTCTTTGTTTTCAGTGCTTTGGATAAAATTATCGTTCAAGGATACAAGGCCCTCCAATTGGAGTACTTCTTCACCGCCGGCCACGACGAGGTCAAAGCATGGATCATCCAAGTGAGTAGAATTTCGCCGTTCGCGAATCGCTTTTATATTATGTTGAATAGGCATATTCTTATGCAAATACTCGGAGACAATTTCAAGGCGCAGGAGGGATAATTTGCCCGACATGATGATGGGGACTCAGCACATTCATCTCGCGGCGTTTCAAACCCGCGGCGCATTTTAATGTCGTCGAATTGATTTTGCATTATACACGTCGAATTTTTTGGTATTTATTGATTTATTTTCTTCTTTTTAGAAAGGAACGAAGGCCCCACAAGCCGCTGGTCGTATCCACACCGATTTCGAGAAAGGCTTCATCATGGCCGAAGTCATGAAGTTCATCGACTTCAAGGAGGAAGGATCCGAAACCGCTGCTAAAGCCGCAGGAAAGTACAGGCAGCAAGGAAGGAACTACGTCGTCGAAGATGGTGACATCATCTTCTTCAAGTTCAACGCCGGTGCGGGGTTAAAGGACAGCAAAAAGAAATGATTAAGGGTGCTCATCTTCATCCTCGTCTATCTTTACATCAACATGATATTCTTTTTTCTAAGTGTTAACTGCTAAGTACACAGAATATTTGTTTTTTTTTCTACTTATTTACTTAATATGATTTGCTACCACCAACCACACACCTACCCGCCTTTTAAGAATGGTTTAATAAAATAACTTCGAACTACAACAACAACATTTTTGTTTAGTTTATTCTTCCATAATCTCACCAACAATAAAATAAATCTCTTCATAGTCTATTCGTATCTCTCTTTGGTTCACTTAATACTGCTTCAATGTAAATACTGGTATCAATTGCTCTGCACCAATTGCCTGAACAGTCTCCTCTTGCTCCACTCGTAAAACTCGTACTCTTTGGCTAAAATCAACTTTGCGTATTTACGAAATTTATCGCTTGCTTTTATCATTTTGCGATTCCTATGAAACGGCTCTACAAAATCACAATTAAATAAGTTTTTTTTTACAATATTCAATCAAAACTTATTTGTAACTTACGTAATAAATCTCTGTAATACAATCGCTGCACGCCTTTGAAAAAGAAGGGAACGTCCTTCTCGAAAACCTGCAACGTGGCGTTCACTTCCTCCAGGATTCCCACGACGGAATAGTACCTTTCAACGTTGGACTTCGCCTGGTCCAAGGCCCAATCGTCGTTGAGCAATCTTCAGAAATGTTCAGTTAATAAATTAGTAATTTGCAAGTAAATTAAACTCACGCGCAACGCGGATCTTGTCCGCAGAAGTAAGGAATAGCTAAATCGTAATGCATTCCTGAATGCAGATCACATTTGGATCGTCTCTTTAAAATGCAGTCCTCGATCGCGTCGAAGCTGGAAACTTTCTTTCCCATCAGATGGTTGAACCTGGAAATGAAGAATTATGCCTAATTACGTTCGGTTTGTTTTTAGAATTTGTTTTCAGGAATTTGATGTACCTGGAGATGAGGTAATCCGCTGGATCACGGATTAAGTTTATGTAAGTCGGGGATTGTTTGTCGAAGCGGGTGAAATTGATGAAGTACATGTTTCTGTCGAAGCACAGTGGAACCGCCTCATCTCTAACTGTCTTATAAAAATCATCCACGAATTCTTCCTGTAAAGAATTTTTAGAACCATTAAATTTTATAAAATAATTAGAATGTAATTTAAAGAAATCCTTGTTTTTTGTTAATAAATATACATAATAATTACAATTATATTAGTGAAAAAGTAAGCATTTATTTCATTAATTTGTTAATAAATTTATTTTTCTCTAAATCATTTCTCAATCAACTTTTATTTGATTTAAATACTTTATTTGTTGTTACAATGTCAATCTTTCTGTAATGCTTATATGTATAAAACAAACATTTGTAAGTAACTTTTAAATTGATAAATAAATCATTTAACAAAATTTGTTCAATATTTAAAATTTTGTTATGTAGATAGAAATAAATGAATATTTTTTTAAAACTTTATTCTAAATTGATGATAATTAATATACACAATTTGATAGAAATCTAGTACATTTCATAGCTTAAAAATAGTTTTCTGAAAGTTTATGAACTTTTAAAGAAAAATTGCACAAACTCTTAGATGCTTTAGACAACCCACTTTACATGTTCACTTTTTTTCGTAAATTTATTAACAGATTTAGAAGAAACTAAGATAATAACTGTTGAATGCAATATAATGCGTAAATACAAATAATTTTTTCAATTAAATTTTATAATAAACTAAAAAAATATACATTTATGCATAAATAACATATATTTTGTGTAAAGGTTACAATTTTTTTTTACAATTATTTAAAAATATATTTTTATTAATTAATTAAACAAGTTTTGATAATATTTTTCATACATTAATATTAATAACTTTCTGAATATTAATATTTTAAAGTAAAAATGGATTTGTACAAATTAAGATAACTCTTTATATCAATAGAAATGTCTCATGCATTGTCCTGCCTCATTGATTATTAAAATACAATTTGTGCAAATTAAATTCTCAACATGTTATGTATTGTCCAGCATTGTTTAATACTGAGATATGATTTGTGCAAATTAAGATATGTTTTTAGAAATCTATTAGAATTATCTGATACTTTGACCAAATTAGGATATGATTTATGCAAATTAAGATAACTCTTTATATCAACAGAAATGTCTCAGGCATTGTCAACCTCCTTGATTATTAAGATACAATTTGTGCAAATAAAATATGTTTCTACAAAAGCATTCTCAACATTTTATGTATAGTCCAGCCTTCTTTATTGTTGACATATGATTTGTGCAAATTAAGATATGTTATTAAAATTGTCTGATACTTTGACCAAATTAGGATATGATTTGTGCAAATTAAAATATGTTCTTAGAAAATTATTAGAATTATCTGATACTTTGACCAAATTAGGATATGATTTTAGAAATTAAGATATCATTAAGATATCATTGAGATGTGGTTTGTTCTAATTAAGATATGTTTTTACAAAACATTTAAAATTGTCTGATACTTTGACCAGTCTTATTTCTCATTGAGATGTGATTTGTGCAGATTAACATATGTTTTTACAAAACATTTAGAATTGTCTGATACTTTGACCAGTTTGTGCAAATTAAGATATGTTTGATAAAAGCATTATAAAAGTATTCCAAATTATCAGTCATATATAATTTGTGCAAATTATATAAGTTTATACCATTAGAAATATGCAGCCTCATTTATTATTGATATATGATTTGGGTATATTAAGATAAGTCTTTTCGAATGCATTAGAAATGTCTTATGTATCGTCTGTCTAGCCTTATTTATCATTGAGATATGATTTGTACAAATTAAGACATATTTGTACAAAATCATAAAAAATCTCTTATTATTTTAATTTGCACAAATCACATATAAATGATAAATAAGGCTGTTATCATTTATATGTGATTTGTACAAATTAAAATAAATCTTTAAGAAACCATTACAAATGTCTTATTTATCATAATTTGTATAAATTAATATAAGTCTTTACGAATTATAAATGTTTTTTGCATTGTATATTATTGATTTGTGTAAATGATTAACAAAATCCTTGAAAAATACGACATACTTGAATCACCATTAAAATAGAAGAACACGTTAATAGCCGATGATCTAAATACTTTCAGCATATTGCAAACTTTTCGAGAATGCTCGTTACGTAATTTTGGAAAGAAGAACAAGATCAACAACAACAACAAAAAAATAAATATCGAACACATTTGCTAGAACAACTTCCACATTTGGAAACGTGTACTTTCCAATTCGGTGCAGAAATCATTACAAGAAGCGCGCCGATACTTTATGGTCCGATAGATATGCAAACGTGCACCAAAAGAAAATGTAAACTCTATCCTCATTCGACTTATGTAACAATTGCTCTTAGCATTCGTGTATTTATTTAGCATCTTTTAAGCGAATCATGTAACAATTATTACTTGTAAATTGCGAACAATGCGAATTAAGAAAAACGTATAAACGTATGTTTAACATTTCTTTATTCTTATTTAACATATTATATAAATTTTGAAATGTTAATAGAAATTAACATTCATTAAATGAAATGATTTTAATAGTCATACATAAAGTTTTTAATATGTCATACTGTTTGAAACCGGACTAATCGAGGTAATACATAAAATTGAAACAATCCGCACAAAACGAATTGTGACTATATAAAGGTAAAAATGATCATTTATATATAATAATTTTGTATACTAATTGTGGTGACCCGACAAAAGCGCGCTGACTAAAGACTGCAGTAACAAATGAATATTTTCATATTTACTGTAGTGCCTTAGGTTACTAACAGCTGGGTAGGGTTAGTATTTTAAAAATAGATAAAAATTCTAGTGGTTCATTTACAACGCGCTTTTGTCCTGCGCTCTTTTGTCCTTCGCTCTTTTGTCCTGCGCTCTTTTGTCCTGCGCGCTTTTGTTATTTCGTCAGTAATTGCATAGAATTTATTTTTATTTTGCTCAAAATTAAAATTTGGTTTGAATCCCGCAATCAAAACCACTATGCGAGGTATTGCTTTATTTTTTATTTACTAATAACAATCAAATTGTTTCTGTAATTTTATTGATGTTGCAGTATATGTTGGTATTATTATTAGTAATACAGTGGAACCTCGCTTAACGAGTTTAATCCGTTCCAAAATTTCCGAATTTTTACTCGTATAGTGAAACATATTCAAAAATACACATAATATGTGTACACAAGTTTTAAAAATGATGTAGAGGCGCGCAATCACTCTTCTCATCGTCACTCGTTATGCGAAACGTCGCTCGTTAAGCGAGTCATTTTCCTTACAATTAATTTTGCTCGTTAAGCGAAATGCTCGTTATGCAAGGTTCCACTGTATATATAATTTTTTTGTAATAAATTAAATATAATGAATGTTTAAAAACGTTATATGAATAATGTAATGATGTAATAAACTATTCATACTTAATTACACTAATCTTGACAAATTACACGTTGTGAAGTGAAAATTGTATAATAATGGTGAATAAATAAATATAAATTATGATTGCAAAAATTATGATATTTAAATTGTTTAGTTTTAAGTTGGTCATAAAAAAATGCTATAATTTCACTAGTTTTACAAGAAAAAATGTATTTTTTAGTATTTATATAAAATATTTACATATGCACATTAATATTTTATATATGTTGTTGTTAATGAATGAATTAAATATTAAAAAGAAGGAAATTATAATAACTATACTTGTAAATATTCAAATATTCATCATCAATATCTTAGATGTCGAAAGATGACGAAAGTTCTTGAGAAATTCTTACTTAATAGGATCCGATCTGTATTGATTAAGAATTGGAATTTCTTTGAAAAATAAAAATGTAAAACTGTCCGTTATCTAATTTATTTATTCTATTTCTGTTAAATTTCATTGTAAATGTCAGCGAATTTGATATTGTTTCTATTATAAATATATTTTTTTTTTGTAAATTTTTTTTTATAGGTAAAAAATATTTACAATTACTTAATAAGTTTGATATTTTACACATAATTATATAATTTCGCACATTTTTTACTTAATTTATCAAAATTTTGATTATTTTATTATGAAATATCAACAGAAATACTTCGTTTAGTTCGGTTCCGCACTGATTGAAACCATACTAATCGAGAACTTTAAATCCTCATAAAGAAAAAAAAAACGATGAATTAAAATTTAATTGGTTTGAAATTTATAAACCGTACTATAGTGAATTCGCACTATACGAGGTATTGCTATATATAAAGTTTGAAAATAGTCTTTTTTAAATAAATTTACCAATTCGTTACTTTAATAAACTTAAAAGAACTTTCCTTTATAATTTGTAATGAATGCAAGGATAAATATATTATATTCGGCATTGAAACCAAAAATATATATAAAAAAAACTGCATTGAATGCGTGGTAAGTCTGCAATCCGTATAAATATAGAACATTTTTGTAACGTAAAACACCAACACGTTTATTGAACTCTTGTAATAATAAAAATCGCCGTTTTTGGAGAATGCAACTTTTTTTATAGTTATTTTATATCTGTTTTATAATATATTTTTCTCAATTTGGATATTTCATTTAAATGTCAAATTAACATATTTTCTTTTATTATATTTCTTATAAGGAAATGACGATTTTCAAAATATAGTGCATTCTGACAATACATAAAAAAATAATTCTAACAAATTATTATGTAAAGAATATGTAATTTCTGTCTTTCTTAGTTAATAATGAACATTTTGAAAATAAATCTCTTCAAATTTAGAACTATATTGAAAATTCACATTCAGACATTTGTACCTTAAAGATGTTAGATATTCCATCTCCAAAAGCAAGAAATTATATAACCAACAAGGTTATTAACATTATTATATAACTAAAATAATACATTTTAGAGTTTTAACAGAAACTGGAAAATTTATAAGCGAAGAGAACACTATTTAGTATACATTTTTTGACAGTTTACATTAATTTAATTGATTATTTGAATTACTTAATATATATTGTATCAAATTGTAGTAAAAAGTGTAGTTTTTGGTTTTGGCAATTATTTTCATAAAGTTCCTCAATTAAATAGATCAGATAAAATTTATTTAACTAAGAAAATTAAAGAAAAAGTTGCTTTACAAATATTACTTTTTTCATTGTTTAAATTTACGCTCTTTGTTTTTGTCACAATTTCTGAAGAATTTGTTATTAAAATTGTCTAAAATTTAAAATGTTAGCAAAACTGTTAGTTATTGTTGTTTTCTTCACAAGTATATTTCTCATAAAGTTCCTCAATTAAATAGAAACTATTACAAATGAATAAATCTTCCCACATAAATTACGCATTTATCAGGTCATTCCAAAATAAGTATGTAACGAGGTGCCAACTAATTACCATAAGCTTATTAATAATCTTCTTTAGAAAGAATATAGCTTTTGTTCCGAACTCACCTGCTCCAAGTTGCTCAACTTCCTTTTGCTGCCTTTCAGTCTCACGTGTCTGAAGTTATTCCAACCCTGCAACCACTGGATCAACAAAACCAATATCTCCGATCCAGATTTCGGAACGGCGTTCAGCATCAGTATGTGCGCACTAACTTCATCCATCTTCCCTAATTCCGATAAGGACTTTGTTACGTGCCTGTACGGTGCCAAAGAGCCGACAACCCTTGTGCTCGGCGTGGTGTTGCGAACCATGATTTCCGGCCGCGAAACGCGCGATATCCAAAGAAAACTGATGGTCACCAGAAACGCGAAGACGATGATCTGAAGTCGCACTGTTCTCGGCATTCTTGTGTGTTATGGTAGTGACGCATCCGGTGGGAATGTCAACGGGTCGTTACTGTAACGAGCCGGAGGATGCGAATAAAAGGTGAAAGGTAAACCTAACACATAACACATACAAAGAGTTCCCCGCCATCGGATTCCCCGCCGCCGATGCGAGAGATCCTAATTGTTACATATATTCTGTTGCACTTCGGAAATGGCTCGAAAAATGAAAGCGCGCACTCTCACTTCGCGGAAACCGCCTCATCTGATGATCTTCAGTTCTACCTAACTAATGGAAAGAACATCAGCACGTTTATTGAACTCTCTAAATAACGAAATAAAGCAATTGGTTATATAATTTTATACTAATAATAAATATTACTACGAAAAAAATATAGTAAATATTTTGCATTTCGTGATAGTTTGTACGATCCGTTAGAAATAACTATAAAAGAGATTTATTAAAATATTTATATTTTACTGTGAATCAATGAAAACGTTAACGCTATGCTTAGATAAAGTACATCATTTTGACGTACGTTCGACAAATAGCAAAGTGTACGTTTGTACGAACATCGAGTACGTACGAGCGAATGAAAAGATATATGTGTACTTAGTTAAAGTACATTCTTTTAACGTACATTCAATAATACGTGCATAATTATTTACAACTAATGGCAAAGTGTACGTTTATACGAATATTGAGTACGTATGTGTAAATGAAAAGATTTGTATGTAGTAAATATAATTTTATAGGTATATACATACACTTGCTAATATAACTAAATAAATTGATATAAATAATATTACAAGAAAAGTATATGACTAAATACTTTTTACAGTGAAATAATGAAAACATTATTCATTCAGCGTTTAGTTAATGTACATCTTTTTGACGTAAGTTCTATAATACGTGCATGACTACGTTCATGTAAACATCTAGTACGTAAGTGCGAATGAATGATTGTACTTATATGTTTTTTACATATTACATAATTTCTTAAAATTGAAAGTTGTAATTGTTCTACTATCAATAAATAACACAAAATTTGACAAAAATATCGATATTTTTATTTGTCTTTAAGATAATTTCTTTAATAAATTAACTATTTTACTGTCTACTGTACAAACTGTGTCTTCTATGAATCTTTGACTTCTAATAGAATTTCTTCAATAAATTGTTCACTTTTCTTTCTACTATTAAAACTGCATCTTTTGTGAATATTCAACTTCATTAACTAAATAAAACGTTGTGATTTTTTTTTAGTTGCATTTGGAATTTATTTACTTATTTTGCCAAATATTCAGAAAATATTTTTCTTTAATAAATTGAGTATTTTGCTTTCTACTATAAAAATTACGTCTTCTGTAAATCTTCAACTTCATTAACTAAATAAAACAACATAAAAATAACTTTAAGAACAAAAAATAATCATTTTTTGAAATTAACTTATTATAAATCTTTGAATATTAAAATTCAATTACTAGAAAATAACGTCAACCCGTTTCTTGGATTCCAAAAATAACAGAAAAACTTCGCAATCTTCTTTGGAAATCATCAAAAAATGTGTATTGATCAATCAAATTGGTGATACATCCGCTTCTTCGTTCTTATACCAATTCGCGTCATTTAAATACATACAATTTAGTTTCTATATTCGTGCCAAGTGAAAGTTGGCCTTTTGGTCTATCTGAGGGCACACGCAAAGTTTTACCAAATGCCATCCGGAATGTTACAACAACCTTGGCCTTTCTAAATGTGTATTAGATTTATATTTTTTTTGTGTGTATACATTTTTATCGCTCAATTTCAGCGATATCAAACGATACCACACGTTTTCGACATTTTTAAATGCCCCGTTCAATCTACGTCCGCGCTCCGCCTTCGCACGACCGATTTTATATAACATTATTTAATGACCTTTTATCCTTCGATTCGATTATACATTAATAGATGTTCGTAATTAGTGATGTGCATAAATCCGATTGTGCATTCTGCTCATAATTTTTATGATGGCCTTTAAAGATTGTACGTTCTTCCTACTTGTATTATTTACGCGCTCTTGCACTTACCTGAATCATAATTCATGTAAGATTGTTTCCTACGTCTATTTTTTTGCAAAGTGATGCATCTCTTATGCAACAATAGTTAAGTTTTTTTTATTTAAAATCAAACACATGATTCTCACACTTCAAACACAATTCCTCCAAGCAGATAATTCGACTTTAAAAGTTGTTTGAGCTAAATATTCACATGATAAATACTACTACTACTACTCTGCGAAGCTGATTATCTTTGCCTGTTTGACACTTCCATTGGATCATGTTAATGCTGGCGTCTACTGCCACTGGAGGCCCTCTGCAGCCTCCGCTCGTCTTCTTATTTACACAGTATTCTGCTACAATCTCCCAGCTCACTGCACTTTTAAGCATTTCCCTGACAAAATTTTCCGGCTCTAGCAGAACTGCCTCTGCCTCGTGTTTCCTTCTAAGCCATCTGCAGCACCTAAAATGTGTGTGCTCAGGACTATCGTCCTCCTCACAGTATCAGCACCAGTATCAGAACCGTCTCTCTGCCTCTGACCACTCTCTAAAACAAGGAGCTCTATTGCACCTGCACTGCGTCTCGGGAGATTACCCTGTTACTTCTCTCTCTTGGACCGTTTCTAGCGCTTTCCTATAACTTAGCGCAACAGATAAAATTGTTGAACCAAAAATGAAAAAAAACAAGAATATTTCTATTCACCAGGGAAGTGTAGTTATTAGGAAGCTGCTAAAGAAAATGTAAAAGCTCCTACTTACAGTCCATGACTTAATCCCAACCAGGTCATCTGCAAAGTGATCCACACTTCACTTGTAATAAATATTTACTGTGTTCTAATTTTATTTACCTTGTAATATTCTGTATAAGTTCTAAACTATTTCCAAAATTGCGCTGGAAAGGTAGAACACCAATCAATCCCCGCTGATCTTCTTGCTGAAGTGTTCCACTCCCACCCGTTCGGGGAATAACATTCTTCCCTGAAGTCTCCGAAATGAGGTTCAACATATGGACCTTCAGCCAAGTCGATGGACAATGACAGTGTTAAGGATAGCAGCATCAGCATCAATATACTACTAAAGTTAACCTACAAGACGACAACCAACCAAAATAAAATCATCATAATGGTAACTATCCACCTGGAAAAGATTATCCATTTAACTTCAACTGCGATCTTAAATTTACTCAATGTTCACATTGATTAATTGTGAATAAAAATTATACGACATAAAAAAAATATTTCATTCCTAATTTACACACGATTTAATTGAGAACGGATGTCCTTAAAAAAGTTTTTTATTTGAAATAACACAATTGATTTCAAGTACATTTATTAATAAAAATATTGTATTCTCATTTTTAAATAGGACTAATCTCATCTTATCCTTGACTTCTTTTAAGATTTATTTCTTTATTTTATATATAGAAAACAATTTGACAAAATACCATTTTATAAATGATGCAATATTTAAAGAGCTTCTGCAATGTTGTTGTTGTTATTACATTTTTTATTCACACGTATAAAGCAAATATGCAAACAGATTACATCAATGTTTTTGTATTCGTTCCAAACGCTATTTTTAATTTTATAGAGAAAAAAAGCCAACAACATTAAAGACGCAGCCAGTTTTCCTTGGACCTAGAAATCATCTTTGTCCTTTCTATCATTTGAACGTCTCATGAGCCAACTTACAGCATGTGTACATTTTTTAGATATAAAATAGCTTTTAAGTATTAAAAAAAATATAAAAATTGTTTTTCAATTATTGAAAAAGAAAGTGTTAATTAAATGGATGTTCAATCTCCTTTTAACTGGATTGTTAAAGTGAAGATGTTCCGAATGAAAGTTTTTTTTTCTATAATTAAAAGTATATTGAATGAGAAACCAAGTTTCTATTATTCCTGATGCGTTCGGAATTTGATTTTATAGATCGAATAGAAAACGAAGGGAAATTCGCAATGGAAGAGAAAATTGTTTGGTTGAAGTCGCCACTTGAATTGAAAATAGCAATTTTTTCCGAGTGAAAAGAAAATGGAAACTTTGTCAACTATATTTTTATAAAGTTGTATGTATTTAAGAGATAACGAGGATTTATAATTAATAAAGTTGAGACAAGAATTTTTTAGTTAAAATTGTCTTCTTGAACATTTTTTTTGAAGGTGAGCAGTTAAATTGTATTTTCATTATTGACTATTATGGTACAATAGTAACAGTAGTACATAGTCCTGATTCGATCAGTCCGGATTCACTATAATACCGCTTGAAAAGTTATAAATTATAGTTGATACAAGAAATTTGTCATCAATTATAGAAAAATATTAAGGTTTATTTTTTAGTAAATATCTCTTTTTGAACATTTGCTTCGATCTAGCCAGACTATAGTATGGTTAGTCCTCCTAGTCCTCGATCAGTCTGGTTTAAAACAATCTAGGATATTGACGCACACTGTACGAATTATTGGTGCCAAATAAAATTATTGTATCATTATGTAAAGCCTATTTTTATCACAATTATTTTATTAAACTTCAATTTCAACCAAATTATATTTAGATTTCGGGCTCAACAGGTCAAACCTATTATGCAATTTATTCATTTAAATATAACAGTTTATTTAAAATTAAAAGAAAATAAAGAACTCAATACGAACTGTACACTAGAATTATTTTATTTGTCAGAAGGCATCAAGGTGGCCTTTTTACGAAGTTGTGTGCAATAATTTATGTTCTCAAAGAGCTGCACCAAATACATCTCAGCAGCTATTTGCAAGCCCTGCAAAGCTACACCTTGAGACATGTTCTGATAGGCCAATCGTCGAAAATGTTGATAGAATCATTGGAACCATTTGCATAAGGCTGGTCTCAAGAAGAATGTATCAATACGTGTGGCACTCACGCATTGATGCAAAAGAATTTTTTTGCTGAATCGGAACGAAATCATTTCACGTAACCATTTTTGAAGCGGATGGTGACTGGCGATGAAAAATATACGAGAACGAGAGGCGAAAAAAATTGTGATCCAACCACGGTAAACCAGCCAAAACAATCGCCAAACCCGGATAAACAACCAAGCTGCTCCGATCGGGCCAAACACTCAATTATACTGTCAACAACTGACCAGATTGAAGCAGGCGCTCGACGAAAAGCGTCCAGAATTGGCCAATAGGAAGGGTGTTGTGTTCCATCAAGACATCGCCAGGCAGTACACATCTTTAAAGACGTGCCAGAAGCTCTGAGAGCTTGGATGGTAGATTACATCGCACCCGCCGTATATCCCAGAACTTTTCAAGCAATTGCAGAATTTTCTTGATGGTAAAAAAAACTGGCCTCGAGAGAGCCTTGTGAAAATGAGCTGGTCAAGTTTTTAACCAATAGAGACAAGGATTTCTTCAATCGCAAAATTGAATTTGCCTTCAAATGGACAAAAGTTATCGAACAAAACGGCGAATATTTTATCTAAATTCTAAAATTCTAACTTCGAAATAAAAAGAAAAAACTCTCAGAACGTTTTACTTTATCCAATATTTTTATTATTGACTAATGTGGTACAGCAATACCTCGCATAGTCCTGCTTCGATCAGTCCGGATTATATCTATAGTATATATCGTATCTATAGTACGGCTGGAAAAATTCTAAATTTTAATTGAGACAAGAAATTTATATTCAATTATTTAAAAATATTAAACTTTATTTTTTAGTAAAAATTTTCTCATTTGAACTTTTTTAATATCAGCAAATTGTATTATCATTATTGATTAATATTGTACATTAATTCCTCGCATTGTGTTGCTTCGATCAGTCCGGATTCACTATAGTACGTTTTTTTCCACAGTCTTTAATTCCTCAATTAGTCCGGTTTAAACACAATCTAAGATATTGGCACACACTGTGCAAGTTATAAGTGCCAAATAAAATTGTTACATCATTATTTAAAGCCCACAATTGATACCAAATTATTGTATTAAACTCCAATTTCAACCAAATTATATTTAGATTTGGGGTTCATATCAGGTCAAACCTATTATTCATTTAAATATAACGATTTATTTAAAATGAAACAAATAACGACCTCAATGCCAACTGCACGCTAGATTTGATCTATTTATATATAATAGTAACAAGTATATTTATAAGTGAAAAGAACAGAGCGACACTAATTATATTTATATTAATATACTGGTAAAAGCAAAAAAGAAGTAGAAAAATGTATTATATATGTAGGAAAATAGTCTTGTTTACTAAAAATCATTAATAGTTTATGTATTTGATAATATTGGATAATTCCAATAAGAAATTCATTAATTACTAAATACAGAAATCAACTTATGTTACTTTCAATACAGATAATTGGAATAATTTGCCTATAGACGATTCCTATTAGAATTAAATTAAAACTTCATAATTTAGTTTTTTTTATGTTACATGATATTATTTGAAATTTTCAGTTATGAATTAAATATTAGTATACAAGTGCTTTTGTAATATATAAATTAGCAACTATTTTGTATGTATTTTATAAATTCATGATAATTTTTAATAGTAATTTTTATTTAATAATTAGTACATTTATAATTGTAACATTTAACAGACATTGTCAATAATAAAAAAAATGTACAACAAAAGTTTGATTCTTCTTAGAATAATACTGTTGCCATTAAAAGCATGGAAAATTTGTCATTAGTTGTTATCATATATACTGATAAAATAAAATTGTTGTAATAAAAATAATAAAGTAAATATTTACGTAACCATGATTTATCTATATAGTTTTACAAAGACAAATATCAAATAGAATAATCTAGAACATCTAATTTGTTTCTCTTGTTTTATACTTGGATTTCTTGTTTGAATATTCTATTTAAATAATATACAGGTACCCTCCGACTTACGAACTCCCGGACTTACGAACAAAATTCTAAATGCTCTAACTTGTTAGGAGATATATCGTGATAAAAAAAATTAACTATCAAAACAAAAATTGGTAATTTCTTTAATAAAATATAATATTTTTGAAAGATGTAGTATCTGTTTTGTTGCATTTGTTTCTTTTGTCGTTTTTTATTAAATAATTGTAATGTTTACATTGAAAAGTATTTCTAAGTATTTTGTTTATTTCAATCTATTTTTTCAAATAGATGCAGTCAGTAATACGGAATTTAACATATATAAAAGTAAAAACCATGATAAAGTGCGGTAAGATAAGTATATTTTAAAATTCCCCCAACTTACGAACAAATTCGACTTACGAACAACCATTTGGAACGTAAGTCGGGGGATACCTGTATTTCTTTTTAATTTTGACTAAAATCTTAATACACGTTATATATTGCTATAGATTTAAAAAAAAATATAACAGTTTATATAACATTTACATTAACTTTTGATGAAGTTTAGTAATTTAAGTTTAACTTCACAATTTTTTCTGAATATTATTTTAAGTGCACAATTATTTAATGATAAATTAACGAGAAATGTTAATAATATTAAATTGGAAACATTAAATTATTAAATACAAATTTCTGCAATTATACAATATAAAAAATTGATCATTATTAAATTGTTATTACCCTTCATTTGTTTTATAAGTATGAGACTTATACAGGCTTGAAATGCATCAAATAATAATAATAATATTATTATTTTTATACGTTTATTCTACAAAATGATATCAATTTCTGAATATTTTCAGACATTAAATAAATCAAAATGATTAATTCTTAAATTGTAATTTACTAATACAATTTTATATTTGAATCGATTTTACTTATTCGAATATTCTATTTCTATTAATAAAATGAAACGATTAGTAAACATACGATATGAGCCAACTGTTATGTAACAGCATGTGCAATGATAAGACACGTATTTGCATAGCATTGAAGTAATGAAATTTTTAAATGAAAATATTAAATGATAAAAATGAACGTATTTCATCATCAAAAACTAGGAAAATTTGATTGTTTTATACCGATTTATAATTTTCTTATACAAAAAATTGATAAAAACTGTTAGAAATAATTTACAATAACAATAGAAACAATGTTTTTAAAAACTCGTATTTTTTCAACACTTTTTGAAAATTCATTATATTGATTTATTGATATTATTAATTAATAGTCTATGATAATTATATGCAATTAAGCGTTATTATTAACTAAAATTAAATAACATGTTTTTGTAATTTGCTTAGTAATATCCTTTCATATCATTGCTTAACATAACATTTTAGGATCTACATCGCAAGCCCGACAACCGAAATCCCGAGTGAATTGAAAACCCGACGTTCAAAATCCCGACGTTCGAAATCCCGAATGTATTGAAATCCCGACGTTCGAAATCGCGACAGTGTCTTATATTATTATAATTTCTACAATAACATTTTTAAATTATTCTACCATATTTTAATAGATACGACGGATACTGAAAAAAAAAATACTTTTAAGACCTAGGTCGTTGGCTCTTTTGCCCGATTATTAATTGTTGTTATTTATTCTTAATAACAATAAATAATCTTATTAATTTTTAAATTGTCGGGATTTTGATTGTCGGGATTATGGTAGTCGGGATTTCGATACACTCGGGATTTCAATATATTATGGTAGTCGAGATTTTGACATAGTCGGGATTTCGATATAGTCGGGATTTCGATACACTCGAGATTTCGAACGTCGGGATTTCGATATAGTCGGGATTTCGATACACTCGAGATTTCGAACGTCGGGATTTCAATACACTCGGGATTTCGAACGTCGGGATTTGGATAGACGGGATTTCGGTTGTCGGGCTTGCGATTGCCACCGAACATTTTATTATATCTATTTCTTGTTCTGAATTTAAATGTGTGATTAGGGCGACTAATAGGCGAATGGTTAAGTCGCCCTACCAACGATTCCGTGGGCGCCGGTTCCAGGATTCAAGCCAGGTCCTTTGTAAGCCCTCTTGGTGCCATCGTTCATCATGAATGGACAGTCAAATGAAAGAGGTTCAGGATATGGACCTTCAGCCAAGTCGATGGACAATGACAGTGTTAAGGATAACAGCCAAATTACCAAATTACCAAAAAAGAATTAATTGAACTTCGCAGGAATAAAATTGTATATTCAATACATTGTGTCATTCAAATTCTAATAAGAACCAATGGATACATTAACAAATCTTCTAATTATGTTAAAAAATGCGTTGATTTTTTAATTTAATACAATTATTTTATGGATAATTCTGTAAAATTTTTCTAAATAAATTAACAAAAAGTATTATTTATACTTCTCACATGCATATGTTAATAAACAGGTAACAAAAAAGTAATTTTGTCTTAAAATCAGATTATGTCTGTCAAATATATTTACAAATATTGTGATTAAACCAGTAATTTTAAACTAATTTGCCG